TTAAGGAGTCATTAAAAAGTGCTATAAACGCTTTTCACCACTTGCTGTACAATGATTATTTAGGAGTCATAAAAGAGTGCAACAAACGCCTCTCAGGTTCACTCTCTACTAAATTTCAAAGCAGCTGTCAAGAAGTGTCTACAAACGTTGTATAAGAGCTTTCACCAAAATAATAAAGCTTGAGTTTAAATATGTATCTATAAACGTTGTATAAAAGTTGCTTCTATCCGGTTGTTAATGAGTCATTGAAAAGTGCTATAAACGCTTTTCACCGCTTGCTGTACAATGATTATTTAAGAGTCATAAAAGAGTGCAACAAACGCCTCTCAGGTTCACTCTCTACTAAATTTCAAAGCAGCTGTCAAGAAGTGTCTACAAACGTTCTATACGAGCTTTCACCAAAATAATAAAGCTTGATTTTAAATATGTATCTATAAACGTTGTATAAAAGTTGCTTCTATCCGGTTGTTAAGGAGTCATTGAAAAGTGCTATAAACGCTTTTCACCGCTTGCTGTACAATGATTATTTAGGAGTCATAAAAGAGTGCAACAAACGCCTCTCAGGTTCACTCTCTACTAAATTTCAAAGCAGCTGTCAAGAAGTGTCTACAAACGTTCTATACGAGCTTTCACCAAAATAATAAAGCTTGATTTTAAATATGTATCTATAAACGTTGTATAAAAGTTGCTTCTATCCGGTTGTTAAGGAGTCATTGAAAAGTGCTGTAAACGCTTTTCACCGCTTGCTGTACAACGATTATTTAAGAGTCATAAAAGAGTGCAACAAACGCCTCTCAGGCTTACTCTCTACTAGATTTCAACGCAGCTGTCAAGAAGTGTCTACAAACGTTGTATAAGAGCTTTCACCAAAATAATAAAGCTTGAGTTTAAATATGTATCTATAAACGTTGTATAAAAGTTGCTTCTACTCCTATACCGCGTATACATATAATGCTGTAGTTGAACAGGTTCTCCAAACCAGTGTAAACAAGAGTTTTACAGCAGTTGTAATAAACAAATTGTACAGTTATTATTCAGCATGCAGTTTAATAAAATCACAATGGAAGCGTTTCTTCAACAAGAAATTGATTTTGGGCAAACGTTTTACTGAATACGTTAGACAACACCTTTGTGTTGCAGTTGTATAGGTTCTCCAAACGAGTGTAAACAAGGGTTTTATAAAAGTTGTGGTGAACACATTGTGCAATTATTATTCAACATGCAGCTGAACAAAATCAAAACGAAAGCGTTTCTTCAACTGGAAATTGTTACTTGGGATATAATAAATGTTGTTTGTTAACTGCAGCAGGAGCTTGTGTTTTGTGTAGGAATAGAAATTTGAGCGCGGTTCTATGTCTATACTCTTTAGTATGACGCGCTTGACATAGATGGCCATATGGAATTCAACTTTGAAATCTTTGTTAGGGAAATCGCTTCTCGCAGGCAACCGGTGATAATTTTAGTTATTTCAGTTACCATGGGGACGTTATTTGTGATTAGCCCAGGTCCCTTTCAAATTGTATCATTATTTATGTACGGCCTTAAATTTGAAATGACGTTTCACATTCATCTAGTGATGGCCGATTTTCATTCGAATAATCGATTAATCGATTAACGAACCGAAAAGTAAAATATTTGTAATCGGTTATATCATGCCGATATAAACATTAACATCTCCAGAGGATCATCACCGATCGTTTCAAACATGTGCTGTACTCTCATTGGTGGAAAAATGGCAGCATAGCGAACAAAAAATAATCGATTAGTTGTTAATCGAGTAATTAAAAATGGGACATCTCTGATTTTGGTGTGATTGTTTTGAAAAAAAAAGTGCGCAAAATTTCATCTCTACCGAGGGGGCATCAAAACCACAATATTACCTTGCAGACGGGAGATACTCATTGGATGAAAGGGACCGTGAAAGAGGACACTAAAATAGAAAGTTTTTCTTCAGTATTCATCTTTGGTTGCACATTCGTGCATTTTTCAAAATTTCATTTTGCAACATTTTGAAAAATGATGAAGTCTTAAATTTAACAGATGCGTAGAAGTATTTCTGATCAAATGATGATAAAATTATTGAAATTGGTACAACGGCTGAGTTATTAACGTTCAAAATCTTTCATAATTTTGTTACACACTCAGCTACGTTTTGCTTGTTCGGTAATTTTTTACCGGAAATAATCGGTAAATTTAGTATATTACAGATTTTTCGGTAAACAAAAATAATTTCACCAATATTCGTTAAAATTTTAACGAAGTTTCGGTAGTTTGATTATAAATTTGATGAACTCTGTAAAACAAATATCGAACGAACTGTAAAATAAGCCAAAACGCCGAATTCGGTAAAAAAATACCGAACAAAGCGTAAATCACAAGTAATTTTACCGATATTTTGTACTATCAAACTATCAAATCTGGAGAGGCTTTATTTACTTGTGAATGGTAAATAGTGCATCCGGAATCAAGTGCAAATAAAGTTTACAAAAATTACGATGGAGCAGGTAAGGATAAAAATTCTTGACCACGATCAATGGATCACCAACATATTTCGTGAGTAATTGTTTATTTAGCAAATCCAATTATTTTCCAGGCATTGTCAGCGATAGCATCAAAAGGAATACTAAGATGAAACTGTCGGAAGAAAAACTTTCTATTTTAGTGTCCTCTTTCACGGTCCCTTTCATGCAATGAATACCCCCCGTATTCAAGGTGATTTTGTGGTTTTGCTGCCCCCTTGGTAGAGATGAAATTTTGCACTCATTTTTATCAAAACAAACACACCAAAATCAGAGATGTCCCATTTTTTAATAAACGATTAACAACTAATCGATTATTTTTTGATCGCTGTTCTACCATTTTTCAACCAATGAGAGTGCAGCACATGTTTGAAACGATCGGTGATGATCTGTTAATGCTTATATCGGCACGATATAACCGATTACAAATATTTTACTTTTCGGTTCGTTAATCGATTAATTCGAATGAAAATCGGCCATCACTAGATGAATGTGAAACGTCATTTCAAATATAAGGACCGTACATAAATAATGATACAATTTGAAAGGGACCGGGGCTAATCACAAATGACGTCCCCACGGTAACTGAAATAAACACGAGTGTTCACATATTATTTCAAGACTTTTTAATTCAAATTAACTGAAAACGGTAGTAAAATTAAAAAAAAATAGTGGGAAAATCAGTTTTACAGAACAGTTCAGTAAAAAAATTACCAAATCGCTCCGCAAAAAAGTACCGAATCGTTCGGTAATTTTGACAGCTCATCAAAAAATTGGTTTACCGAACGTTCGGTAGGCATTTCGTTTACCGAACTGATTACCGAACGTTCAGCTGTTATAAACCTTATAAATATAACCTTAGCTGTTGAAAGTTCGGTAAAAAATTACCGAGTACGGTAATAATTTCTGAGTGTGTACACGTTCTATTTTCGGTTTTCACAAAGTGTACCCCCATATAGAAATCACAGACGTAGTCCTACACACAGAGTTTAGATTACCGAAGTCGGTAAAATTTTACATGGTTTTTAAACAGCTGAGTTTTCAGTAATCAACCCAGTAGTTTTTGCTTTTGCTGAAAACTCCGTAAATCTCAGAATCTCTGAACTGTCAAAAATTACCGTGTTAGTCAGTACTAGTATTGCTGTCTTATTCAGTAATTTATTTGTTTACATAGTTTTTTGCTGAGTTTTTCAGTATCTTTATTTTATTTTTTTAATAAATAAGTCAGTAAATTCATCAACAATGTTTTTATTTCATTTGTTTGTGTTCATTCGATTAAAACATTTCGAATTTATAGCGATTTGTATTTGGGGACGAAGTTTAGTGGCGGATTAGCAGTAATGCTGTTTTAACTAGTCCAGGTTGAGCGGTCAGAGTTTCCCAGTGGTTTAGCCGGGTGGTGGCTCTTTCGATGTGCCGGATTGGACGCCTAGGTCTGAAGCTCTATAACAAGAAATTTTAGTGAAATTTATTTCTTCAAACTAACTTGAACATCTGAAAGTAAATGCAGGAGTGCAGAAACTGATAAATACCGGGGTAGTTTATGCAATCCTGTGTTGACTTCCAGATGTTTCACTGATTTTCACAATGATTTCTTGTTTTCACGAGAAGATTTCCGACGTCAAGTGTGAGGTTGAATCGAGGAGGATGACATAAGAAATTTGCTTTACTGTCAGTATCAGCAATGTTGGAATTTCGTTTGATGACTGCTCTAGTAAAACATAACGAATACAAAAAACTCGGTACTCTATTTTACTGAGTTTTAGTCATTATCCGCAAAGCTGTTATTTTACGATAAGTTCAGTACTTACTCTTACCTATGCTCTTACCGTATTCAGTAGTTTGTCGCAAGAGCTACTGATCGTCAGTTGTTTTATTGAGAATAGCTGTATGTTCGGTAATTTTTGTGATTTACAGTTCGAAAACTGTAAAAATATTACCGAACAGGGAAGCCGTGATTAAGTGTGTACCAGAATGGGCTCCAATAGCATAGTTTATCTCAACTTCGTCAGAACTGTCAAAATAGGCGCGGGTGAAGAAAAAGGACGGATAGATTATTATTTAATGTCGTTTTCGTTTTTGCGGTGTAGCCGTGTAGCACCGGTGTAGTGTAAGCAGGAATAACTGCGAGCCTTTGACAGCTCAACATCATTTGTTTGTAAACAAAGGTGCATCCTATATCTACACCTTAAATTATTTCGGTGTACGGCACCCTAATAAAAAATAACCATAAACGAACGATAACCCAAATCATCGAACCATTCCACAAATGTTTTGGATGATACCCAGAACACGTCGTTAAGCAAATGAACCATACAATTTTTATTAGGGCAGTGTAGTACCGGTGTAGCTATACACTGCAAAAACGAAAACGACATAAAAGATTTTCCGTATAACTCCGACAACAGGTACAATACATTGCATCTCGGCAACACTGTAGTACGTCATGCTTCAAATTGCAGTTTGTGAACATGTTTGGTTGTAAACAAAACACATTTTCTCCGGCTTGTGCTTCGTAATATCCATACGAAATTATAATTTTCATGAACTGATACTGAAAAACGCTTTAAAATGAGGTAAAGTTTTGTGTAAAAGAACGGGCAATGTTACTTTTGTAAATTAATATTGATATTATCTCACAAACTTTCCCGTTTACAGGATAAGTGTCGACGGTTTGCTGGTGTACTTCCCATACGAATACATCTACCCGGAGCAGTATGCGTACATGCTGGAACTGAAGCGCACCTTCGACGCCAAAGGTCACTGCCTGCTGGAGATGCCCTCGGGGACGGGCAAGACCACTACCCTGCTGTCGCTGATCATTGCCTACATCATGGAAAATCCGCACATTGTGCGCAAGCTGATCTACTGTTCGCGTACGGTACCGGAAATCGAGAAGGTCATTGCCGAGTTGAAGCATCTGATGAACTACTACGAGAAGCAGATGGGAGTTATGCCTAACATTACCGGGCTGGTGTTGAGTTCGAGAAAAAATATGTGCATCCACTCGGAGGTTAGCAGGGAACGGGACGGAAAGATTGTGGACGCCAAGTGCTACGGGATGACGGCGAGCTACGTGCGTGAACGGGCCTCGGCCGATGAGTCGGTTGCGGTCTGTCAGTACTACGAGGGATTTCAGGCCGAGGGCAAGGAAAACACACTGCCGCCAGGGGTCTATTCGATCGACGATCTCAAGGATTTCGGACGGGAGCGGAACTGGTGTCCTTACTTTTTGTCACGGTTTGCGGTGTGTTGCTTGACGGTGGGGATGTCTATATGGAACAATTAAATCAAAATTCGATTTCTTTTCAGATCAATCAAGCACACGTAGTCGTTTACAGTTACCATTATTTGCTGGATCCGAAAATTGCCGAGGTGGTATCGAAGGAGCTTGCCCGGGAATCGGTTGTGGTTTGTGACGAGGCTCACAATATTGGTATGAAACTAGTTGTTCATTAGCATACCCTCCCCTTGGCTAGTTTTTGCACCTTGCTGTTGGTGGGCGGGCTTAATTTCATGCTAGTGGAGTGTTGGAGACGGTGGGTTTGTGGCCGACGTTGCTGGCTCATGCCGCGATAGAATGGCGCCATGGGCAGGCAATGAGGATTACTGAGCTTCCCCTCTCTGATAAACCACTGCATGAGAGAACAAAAGATCTAGTCCAGCAGTGATAGTATCACACTTGTTACTCCTTTTATTGAGAGCCGCGTCGTGGTACGCTTACGTATAGGCACTGACGTTGGGTGTGATACTGGCGGGTTTTGCCGCAAATCACTCTTATTTTATTTATTTTTACGCAGATAGATTTATTTGGGTTTGCAAGGGAATTATACTATTGAAATATTTCAGAAAGTGCCCAACGGTACTCCTTCTACTTGCGTGACAAGCTTTCATTGTTGTTTTCATTGAAGTATTACTCAGGGAACAATTTTAAACATCATTTTTGTACATGGTATTGTAACTAATCTTATATGTGCTTCATTTTGATTTGGGATAAATGTTTGAACTATGGCTCGGGATTTCCACTGTTGCGTGCTTCTATTGTGATATATCCATACGTAATTTTGTGGGACGACATAGTGGAAACGTGTGAGCGTAGTTGGAGCATATACCCTATATAATTTAAAATCAGCTAGGAAACTAACTTCAAAATGAAGCATTTTAGTCACTTGAGGGTGTCACCTGGGTCGAACTAAGATATAATAAATAGGTATAGGTCAAAATCAAAAGTACTTGAAACACGTTTAATTTTAGATTACAAGCACAAGTGCAGGTACTTAATAAAGCATGGGTTATGATTGATTAGGTGACTTAGAGCTTTTAATAATTTATTAATTTAGACTAATGAGATATCATAACCATCAAATGAATTTAAATAATAAACTTCAGAAAGTTCAATGACATTAAGTAGATTAACAAAAGAATTAGGATGCGGGTGGTCCGCTTAGGGAGGCAACTAACCTTTATAGTTGTAGAATAAATCTTCTTATTTAGTATTGAATTTAAAAAAAAGAAAACGCAGGCAGACCAATAGCATTTAGCAGATTAACAAGGAAAGGAATAGTTTAGGAAAAAAAGTAAAAGTAGAGTTATGTGACAGTTATTAGCTTTTAAACTTTTGGAGGTATTGTATTCCCCTGAGTTTGTTGTACTCGATTACTATATAATTCTCTCAATACGCGAAATCTCTTATATATGCGATTAAAGCATTTGAGTTAACTTATTTCTTAGTGTTCAAGTACTTACATTTGTAAACAGCAATCAATGTTAATCTATGAACTAAACCATACGTAAAATCGATCTTTCCTTATGTGGTATTGATGCATGTTTAACTTTTCGCGGCTTTCGGAATCAACGCGCCTACGTCTACGGAGCTTACGCAGAAGTGATTTGCAATGCGGTAGAGCTCACCAAAAGTTTTTTTTTTTTTTTTTTGAGCTTCTGTAGTATAGAATTTGTTCGGTACGGTCGCGAAATCTTGAAATGATTGATACGTGCGGTAAAATAACTAAATTGAAACAAAGCTCAACAGTAAAATAAGTAGAATATTTAGGGAGGAAACCAAAATTTATCAACTTGCCAACATAGGCTATCACATTTATTTTGGTGGCACTCTTTAAGTGATAATAAGTTGTTTTTTTCTCTACGGTTGTTTCGCGTGGCGTTCACAATTTGCGCGATTTTCGTATCTTACGTAATTTAGATGTTTAACTATAAACGGTTTCACTGACTCGAGGTCGTTCCTTAAGCGGTGTTGGTACAGGTTAAACCTTTGCCGACTGTCGGATTCAACGCGCCTACGTCTACGGAGCTTACGCAGAAGTGATACGCAATTCGGTAGAGCTTGTCAAACGCTTTTGAGCTTATAGAATTTGTTCGGTGCGGTCGCGAAATCTTGAAATGATTGATACGTTCTTTAAATTAACTAATTTGATACAAAGCTCAGTAGTAAATAAGTAGAATATCTAAGGAGGAAACCAAAATTAATCAACTTGCCAACATAGGCTATCACATTTATTTTGGTGGCACTCTTTAAATGATAATAAGCCTTTTTTTTTCTCGCTTCGGTTGTCTCGCACGGCTTTCGGAATTCGCGCGGTTTTCGTAACTTACATAATTTAGATATTTCGTTCGAAACGGATTTACTTATTCAATCGGTTTACTACGCGGATGTATCTACGCGCACACGTCACAGCATTTTTTCTATAACTATCTTGAAACAATACATACGGAATCCAGTGTTCAAGCGGCTAACATAGGCTAGTCCTTCTGCTGTATTGTCAAAGATAGAAGCAAAATTTATTCAAATGGGTCAAGTCTTGAAAATTAAGCTGTCACGCAGCTCCAGCTTGATACCAATAAAAAAAAAAAAAAAAAAAAAAACTAGTTGTTCATTAGCATGGTCGAGATTAACCGTGGATCTTTTCAATCACAGATAACGTTTGCGTCGATTCCATGAGCGTCAAAATCAATCGTCGGTTGATTGAGAAGGGCACAACCGGAGTTCACACGCTGGAGAAATACGTTGCAGAGTAGGTTGCAATCTTTGGTCAAATATGAAGCTTGGAATTGAAAATCGTTTCCCTTTATAGAATGAAGGAAGACGATCGTAAACGACTAAACGACGAATACACTCGACTGGTACAAGGTTTGAAAGATGCTTCGTTCGCTCGGGAAACCGACATGGTCCTGGCCAATCCGGTGCTGCCTAACGAGATTCTCAAGGAAGTCGTCCCGGGAAACATTCGCAATGCAGATCACTTCCTGAGCTTTCTGAAGCGTTTCATCGAGTACATCAAGTCACGTCTGCGGGTGCAGCATGTCGTACAGGAAAGTCCGGCCGGTTTCCTCAAGGACGTACAGCAGAAAGTCTGTATCGAGCGTAAACCGTTGCGCTTCTGTGCCGAGCGACTGTCATCGTTGCTGCGAACGTTGGAAATTACGGATCTAACCGAGTTTGGCCCGCTGACGGTGATCACTTCGTTTGCCACGCTCGTTTCGTCCTATACGAAGGGGTTCACCATTATCATTGAACCGTTCGACGACAAGACCCCAACGGTTTCCAATCCGATAATGCACCTGAGTTGTATGGATTCGTCGATAGCGATGAAGCCGATTTTCCAGCGTTTTCAAAGTGTGGTAATAACATCGGGAACCCTGTCACCCATGGACATGTACCCGAAGATCCTAGACTTTGAACCGGTGGTAATGAGTTCCTTCACGATGACACTGTCCAGGCCTTGTCTGCTGCCGATGGTAAGTCTAGTGCAAGAATTATTGGATTTTCTCTGAATATTTGCCCTTATCATGCAGATCGTATCCCGAGGCAACGATCAGGTGGCCATCTCGTCCAAGTTCGAAAACCGAGAAGATACGGCTGTCACGCGAAACTACGGCCAGCTACTGGTGGAAACGGCCAAAACCGTGCCGGATGGAATCGTGTGCTTCTTCACGTCCTACCTGTATCTGGAATCGGTGGTAGCATCCTGGTACGATCAGGGTATAATCGATACACTGCTGCGGTATAAATTGTTGTTCATAGAAACACAGGACAGCGCGGAGACTTCGTACGCATTGATGAACTACGTCAAGGCCTGCGAGTGCGGTCGAGGGGCAGTGCTGTTGGCCGTCGCCCGAGGTCGAGTTTCCGAAGGTGTGGATTTCGATCACCACCTGGGGCGGGCAGTGCTGATGTTTGGCATTCCGTACGTTTACACGCAGTCGAGGATTTTGAAGGCTCGATTGGACTACCTCCGGGATCAGTTCCAGATTAGGGAGAACGATTTTCTCACGTTCGATGCATTGAGACATGCCGCGCAGTGCGTGGGTCGAGCTATTCGGTAACGTATTTCAAATTCAGCGGTCGAATCAATCACATGGGTACTAATTTGGTTATTTCTTCTACAGAGGTAAAACCGACTACGGTATAATGATTTTCGCCGATAAGCGCTTCGGTCGGCAAGACAAGCGAGGTAAACTGCCCAAGTGGATTCAGGAACACCTCACGGACAATCTTACCAATCTAAGCACGGAGGAAGCTATGCAGGTAACTACCAACAATTTCCTCAACACGCATTTTAGTTGTCACGAAAACCCTGTTTTGTGCAGCTCGCCAAACGATGGCTCCGTCAGATGGCGCAACCATTCACCCGGGAGGATCAGTTGGGCGTTTCGCTGCTGACGGTCGAGCAGCTGCAGAGCATTGAAAAGGAGAAGCTGGAAAAACAAGCCCAAGGCAAAAAATAAACCTAGGTACTACGGTCGTCTCAATAAAAAAAGTCAAACTTTTCATCCTTTTCATAACGTCTATATATTTTATTATCATTTTTTGTAGCTATTATGACTCCTCCCTATTGTATTATATATTCGTACACATCGAGATATTGGTTTCTTTTCAAAAGAACGTGTAGGTAGTTTCCTTTCCTATGGATTTTTTTCTTCACTTCAATCTATATGGGGCATTTGATTAGTGATTCATCTCAAATCTCTTTTTATTTATTATCATTTGCCTTATAGTAAATATCAGTAAAATAAATTCTGTTTCTCTCTGTTTTCGTTATTTACTTTTCTCAACACCACAACGCACTCACGCGCATACGACTCATAAATTTTGAATAAATTCATACTTTAATAGAAATATACTGCCGCTGAAAGCCTAATTGTCACATGCGTATATGAATTCACGCAGCACATGGGACAATTATGTGTCCACCGCAAGTATAGTATGATTGGAATTTTTAAATACCTTAGGGAGCATACTTAAATGGCGTAGCAAATGTTTAAACCAACTTTGCACTCCTTATCTCTCCTAAATAAAGCTAAATTAATTAATCCTTATCTCTCGTTGCGCATTTTTTTTATAGTTAATACGTGGCCGATCACAACATTTGAAGACTACCCCCTTCCCTTCAAAATGCTGCGTCATTCATGCACGACCTCCTAATAGTAATAGACAAAGAAATATAAGACGTATAGTGGATAATGAAGAAAAATCTAGATTACATTACATAAGAAATTATGCTGTTAAAATTAAGTTTGATCAGAAACAAAAATTCGAAATTTTCGTGACAAACTACCTAACAACAGTTGCAACTTTGTTTTTTTGTTGTCCGCCTTTCAGTCTCGTACTTAATATTGTATTCTCCAGTGCCGCAAGCCACCTCGTTGAAGTTGTTTAATTTCCTGTGAATTGGAGTGCAAACAATCTTAGATTAATAAGTTGTGTTTTTGTTGGCTAGCAACCGATTGAAGACAAATCCTAGTAGGTATGCATATTAAAACAATATAATTCAAGACCAACAATTGAAATGGCCTTAACTCCATTTTGTTATTGTCATTGTCATTGCTCAGTTCACACCCTGGCAGGCTGCTGCCTATCGATCTGCACTTAAGCCAGGCATGAACCTACGGAAATTTAGTCGTGGCCTATGCTAGACCGTATAGCATAACGACTTTCCTTTCACTAGCAGGCTTTTTGGTCCCACTAGCGTCCGATTAGTTGATAGTAAGAGATTTAAAGGAATAAAGAAGAGAGATAGAGAATTTTGTTGTCTCGCTGAAAAAAAAAAAAAAAAAAAAACGCCGGCTTGTTGTGCAACATCAGGTTTGTTCGCTTTTATTCCGTTGCAAGGGGCAACGTCCATCGTCGTCGTACTCAAATACCTGGGAACCTCCAGAGGTGCACAGGGTCAACGTGAAAGACTTCCATTCTGGGCAGCTGCTTGACCTGGACCCAGGTCAAATTCCTATCGGCTTGCTTAATTTCCTTGTTGACGCTCCGCCGCCTTAGTATTTGCCTTTGCTGCGATGTTCTGGCGGATTTAATTCATAATCAAGCGCTTGCCTGCAGACTTAATTTCTATTGCTATCGGCTTCTGATGACATCTACATCTGAGATCCATTTGTGAGGCCACCAGCCACAAGTTATATACCGCAGGCAGCGGTTGATGAGACCTGCAGCTTTTGAGTGTTCTACACTGGTGCTGCACAGATTCCACGTTTTAATCGAAGTTTCGAATTTTGGTACGTTGACCAATCTGATTTGAACTCCGCTTTTGTGTAAATGTCATATTATCACTGACCTTATTACCATCACTTTAGTGTGTGACATCATGCTCCTCTGTGTTTTCGTTACCAATGCAGTTAATTTGACACGTTTGTTGCATTCCCGTATGCCTCAATATTATTCTTGCTGAACCACCGTCAAACTTACTATCCAGAGGCAGTGAACCACCTTAACACCTGAAATTATACAAAAACAAATTAAACATTAGCACCAACCCCCCCCCCCCCCTCTCCCCCCCTTCCTCGATTGCAACAGCTCCAAGCCATGCAACAGGATCATTTCGTGCCCCATGACAACTTGATCCAGTTGCTTCCAGATTCATTGTTTTGGCGCCAGCCGCGAGAGACTTGGTCCTGTACCAAATGCTTTCCTTGTCTCCATTCCGCTCAGCTACTCGCAATTGATTGTGATATTATTGGGCGGAATATTACAATGTGAGACAATTCAATGCAGACGTCTTCCAAATTTGGCCGATCGTCAGGTCAGTGGGTTACCACCTGGCACCTCTTAGCAAGCACTATGCTACGAAGCGGACCGGAAGTTTCAATGAACAACCTCCCCCACAATTGAAATGGCCTTAACTCCATTTTGTAAACAAACCTTGTAAGGGGCTGTTCATAAACTACGTAGAAAAAATTTGTATGGGCCTTGGATAATTGTCAACCCCCCCCCCCCCCCCCCCCTAAACTGTCTACGTAGTTTATGAACAGCCCCTAAGGCCATTTTCTCACGAACCGGAACCTTCATTCGCAAACCTAAACCCTCATCGGGTAGAGGAGAATTTCCCCTACCTGTTCATTATGTTGGTTTGCCTTCCCGCATAAACGCGAACCATAAATTGACCTTACCTAAAATGGTTAAAAATTGTTTATAATCCCTGCTAAACTTTAACTGAAATGGTTATGGAACTTTACATGAACGTTTAATGATAAAGTTTCAACCTTATGTATTATGGTTTTTTGGAACTGGACCTTACAAATAATGGGTTGTTAAGAACCATTACCATTTCAAATTCTTGTTTTCTCCATACATTTTCGGAAAGAGAACTATATTAGAACGTTTTTACTTATGGTTTGAGAACATTAATGGTTATGGTTATGGTAGTCAGTAAGGTCCATTAATGGTTTTGTATTATCGCTCAACTTTACGTGGAATATATCGTGAATTGGTAATCAGTAAATTACAGGCAACCAATTCGCGATATATTCCACATAAAGTTGATCGATGTTACAAAACCATTCGTGGACCTTACTGACTACCATAACCATTACCATTAAAGTTCTCAAACCATAAGTTAAAAGGTTCTAATATAGTTCTCTTTCCGAAAATGTATGGAGAAAACAAGAATTTGGAACGGTAATGGTTCTTAACAACCCATTATTTGTAAGGTCCAGTTCCAAAAAACCATAATACATAAGGTTGAAACTTTATCATTAAACGTTCATGTATAGTTCCATAACCATTTCAGTTAAAGTTTAGCAGGGATTATAAACAATTTTTAACCATTTTAAGTAAGGTCAATTTATGGTTCGCGTTTATGCGGGTTTGCACACTTCGTTTCGCGAGAAAATGGCCTTACAAGGTTTGTTTACAAAATCACAAACGAAGTGACAGACGGAGCGGCTCGAAAACTTTGGTGACTAACCTGCTATTGCAATTTTTCAGTGTACCACATGGCAACACCACTACCACTGGATTGTACCAACAATTGTACCACATGGAGTACCGCTATGAAAGTTTGACAGCTAACATCAGGGGTGTGTGGATTCATGCAGAACATGCAGGGGTGAGTGAAATAGCTTGGGACTGCTTGGGACCGTTGTTCTGGTACTGAGTGAGCCAAAAATAATAATGATTTTCTTCGAGACCCAGTGGTCTTAGAGTTACCTCTATGCTACTACTGGATTGAACTAGCATTTTCACCAAATGTACTAGAATGTTTTGGTTCTATCTCTTTCACTCTACTCAAAACTGAAATGCTTAAAAAATGACAAAATGATATAAACTCTTTGCACACTGTCAAAGAATCATTGTACACAAAATCAACTTTGTGCAAAACCAAAACAAAAATACTAGCCCATCTGGTGGATGATGGCACAAGCTTCTAAGAAAATTCTATTACAGCAAACCACAATATTTTAATTGATTTCTTCGCCAGTTAGTCGTCTGTCACTTCGTTTGTGTACAAAATGGAGTCAAGGCCATTTCAATTGTTGGTCTTGAATTCGTAGTTTTGGTGCAAGGCGTAACAACAAGATGCATCATAGAGTTGAAAATTGGAAACGTTTTTGATGATTTAAAATGATATTTTCTTCTACTTTTTCGTGTTTATCGAGTAGTTTGTGAACTTTTCTCTCTATATGTGGCAACATATGGTTTGTTTACATTTGGCTCTGCCGCCCCTTTCAAATGTTAATCTAGATTTTCTCTTTCTTTTGTCTGTGTTTGTGAGCAGAAGCGCTTGATGGCTGCGTCGGAGCAGAGTTTTGATAATAGAAGAGTTAAGGCTGGCGCACAGTGATGGAAATCAAGCGAGCATGATCCGATTTCCAGTTTGTCGTAAACTGTACAGATCGTGATCTGTACAAACTACGACCAATGATTTGTCCTCTTCCACCTTGAAAATACGTTATTGCTTATGTCGTTGTCCGTTTTTGCGGTGTTGCTACACCGGTGCTACACTGCCGTACACCGAAATAATGTATGGTGTCGATATAGGATACACCTTTGTTTACAAACAAATGATGTTGAGCTGTCAAAGACTCGCGCTTATTCCTGCTTACACTACACCGGTGCTACACCGCAAAAACGAAAACGACATTAGGCAACTCACAGATAACAAATACATTGTTAGACTGAGTCAAGCTCAGAGAAGTGAGCTACCCTTTTCGCTCATTATAAATATCCACAAATCGCAACATGTGCTTATTTCACGAGACGAGAGTGAGTGTCTTTCTGTGAGTAGCATCCTTTGGTAGTTTGGGGCTACAGAGTAAAGACCGGCGCACAATAGATACGTTTTCAGGTTTTTTGACAGTTAACCCATGCATTATCTGTCAAAAAACCCGAAAACGTATCTATTGTGCGCCGGCCTTAATAGCATAGAGGTAACTCTAAGACCACTGGGTCCCGAAGAAAATCATTATTATTTTTGGCTCACTCAGTACCAGAACAACGGTCCCAAGCAGTCCCAAGCTGTTTCACTCACCCCTGCATGTTCTGCATGAATCCACACACCCCTGATGTTATCTGTCAAACTTTCATAGCGAATCAAAACAAACATAGTGTAGTAATAGAATTTCAACTAGAATAGGGTACGTTAATCGTTTGTTTGGGACCAATAGGCTACTAAAGTGGTGAGCCAATTTAAAATCGTTAGTTTCGTATTGATTGTTGCTAGAAGGTCCCGAAAAAACGTGCTCAACTTTTTGGTTCAGCTTTGGTACTCTCTTCGGTCCCAAGCTAATCGATTCACCACTCGAAACATAGGAAAATCCACTAACCCCTCATTTTATCCGTCAAACTTTCATAGCGAACCAAAACAAACATTGTGTAGTAGTAGAATTTCGACTAAAATGGGGTACGTTAATCGTTTGCTTGGGACCAATAGGCTACTAAAGTGGTGAGCCAATTTAAAATCGTTAGTTTCGTATTGATTGTTGCCAATAGGCTACTAAAGTGGTGAGCCAATTTAAAATCGTTAGTTTCGTATTGATTGTTGGTAATAGCATAGAGGTAACTCTAAGGCCAGAAGGTCCCGAAATAACGTGCTCAGCTTTTTGGCTCAACTCTGGTACTCTCTTCGGTCCCAAGCTAATCGATTCACCCCTCAAAACATAGGAAAAACCAATAACCCCTCATGTTATCTGTCAAACTTTCATAGCGAATCAAAACAAACATTGCGTAGTACTAGAATTTCGACTAGAATGGGATACGTTAATCGTTTGCTTGGGACCAATAGGCTAGTCAAGTAGTGAGCCAATTTAAAATCGTTAGTTTCGTATTGATTGTTGGTAATAGCAACAATCAATACGAAACTAACGATTTTAAATTGGCTCACTAGTTGACTACCCGAAAAAAATAACAACAAAAATACATTAAAAACAATGTAACAATA